ATGCAATAATATAGATGTATTTCAAATATACAAATGTTGGACATAAAAAGCCAGGTACAAGAGTATATATATTATTATTCCATTTTTATAAGGTTCAGAAACAGGAAAATCTATAGTTCTAGATATACAGGTAGTTATTTGATTGCTCTTGGAAGATAGTGACTTTTGGGGGTGATGCTGTTTTTTTCTTAATTGGGTCCTAGGTACATGGATTGATTCCCTCAGTTTGTGAAAGTTGTTCAACTGTACATTTAAGATTTGGGCATTTTTCTATGTGAATTTTCTACTTTAATTCAATTTAATGGTGATACTTGAGGAATTTATAGTCTTTATTCAATAAGGAGACATGAAAGGTGTTTTTTAGCTGAAGAATTGCACAATTCTATCAGTCAGAAAGATTGAATCAAATGGTGGCAAGACAAAAGGATTGAAAATGAAAGAGAAAATTAAGACCCAAACTTGTATAATAGTAATAGGAAGACAAAGAAAGAGATGGATGTGGTAAAAGTGTTAGTGATAAAATTGACAAATGTTGTGCCTATCAGAACAGGATAGATAAAAGGGGAGAATTTTTATTTTTTAAATGAGATTTCAAGACTGGATGGCAGGTAGTACTACTGACAGAAATGAACATAAAGATAAAGGATTTAGCAAGCATTGGCAAACTATAGCCAGCTGGTCAAATCTGGCCCATTGACTGTTTTGTACAGCCCATGAGCTGGGAATGTTTTTGTTTTGTTTTGTTTTGGGTTTTTTATGGGCTTTTTGTTGTTGTTGTTTTGGGATTTGCTTTATTTTTACATTTTTAAATGGTTGAAAAAAATTAGAATAGATGTAATCAGAATAGTATTTGTGATGTGTGAAAATTATAGGCAATTGAAATTTCAGTGTCCATATAAAGTTGTGTGGGAACACAGCCATGCTCATTTGTTAGCACAGGTTCTGTGACTGCTCTCACATTACAGCAGCAGTGGAGTTAAGTAATGCAATAGATTGGTATGGTACGGCCTGCAAAATGTATACTATGTACTATCTTGCCCTTTCAGAAAAATTCTGCTTACCTCTGTTTTAGAGCTAAAATTATAAATGATATATGTATACTTGAAAATGCCTAATAGGCTAATGGGAACACACAACTTTTGTTGAAGAGAGGAGAATAACCTGAGAAGTAGAATTCTGAGGATCACTAACTGTATAGAGTGAAGAACTGAATCTCTTAGTATGAGTAACAGTTAGCATTTTATAGCACTTACGAATTTTAAAAAGTATATTCATATACATTCTTTTGATATCTAAAATAACCCATGATGTGAATATCATTTTTTTCTAGTTTGCAAATAAGGAAACTTATATTGTAAAAGATATGTGGCTATATTTTGGAGAACAATTACATTCAAAAGTAGAAGGTGATAGAGAAATATCAGCGAGGAGAATGTAGATATTTTGGCCTACGGTGGGCAGTATTCCTCTTGTTTGCAGGCATGGTGATAGAACAAAAACTCGAGTCAGAGTTTCTGGGTTTTCATCCTTGTTCTACCATTTACTAACACTACAATCTTGAGTAAATCACTTAACCTTTTAGAGACTCAGCTTTGTAATCTTAGCATAATAATGTTCTTACCTCAGAGGGCTCTTATGAAGATTAAATTTTAAATATATGTTAAGGCACCTAGAAGAGTGTTTGACATATATAAATGTTATTTTCATTGTCTTTCGGAACAGATTTTCGAATCAGTTAACATACAATGTAATTTCATTTGGATGGCAGGGATTCCAAAAGCCTTTATTAGCTGTTTATATCAGAGTTGTATTCTATATATGTGAGCAGCAGCAGAGCCACTTAGCCAGCTGGCAATAAATATCAGAGATTCCACTTATGTGATTTGTCTTGAGCTTTGTACCTCAGTTTCTTTGCTTATCCAGCAAGAAATAATCCAACAAGGAACATTCACCCAGAATTCCTAAATATCAAGTATTCTCTGAAGTTCTATTTTGACATTTTCATAGTGATTGCAATTGATTGATGGCATATGATAAATCATTCACAGAAGCACTAAAAATCTTCAGTAAAGGTGTCAGTCAGTAATTTAATGCTTTTTTGTCCCTGTTGTTCCTCTTGTAAAAAAAAGAGTCAGAATTCTCCAGAACTTTTAGTTTTGTAAACTATTGCCCAACGTTTGGCCCTTATCTTGTCAAAAGTAAATATCTGCCAATTGTAATTCACCATGTGAGTTGAGATGTTATTAAGGAAACTGAGTGCAACCCATGAGATTCTTGTCCAGGACAGGGTCAGTCAATGCTATCCAATAATCGACTCTGTTTCCTGCATGGTAGGTGGATAGCAGTTGCAATTATTGTCATTTTGTGTCTGGGGAAATGTAGACAGGAGAGTTAAGTGATTTCCTCAAGGTCATATTGTGAATCAATGGCATTCCAAGGAACAGAACTTGGAATACACTTAACCAGATCACCTCTTAAATGGTTTGAATTTTAGCATGAGGATAGTGAAAAATTTTCCACTGTATGCCAGTATACACGTCAAAATTATTTCTTAGATCCAGAGTCATGCATTTATTATCTCTGAGATAAAGGCTGTAAAAAGAGACCCCAAGTAAATTGGTCTATAGCTGTTATCATTTGGAAGTTTAAATACATTTTTATGAAAATGGAGAGAATGATAATGACCAGTAGTTAAGAAGGAGAAAATTCATTTCTATTTTTGAGCTAGTTTAGTGCATTAGTAGCTTACAGCTTTCTTAATGGCTTGTATACTATTGATTTCAGACATAAGAGAGTTGTGTCTTTATTTACATGCTTTGCCACATACCAGCAGCAGTAAAAGCTGCTCTTCCTTTAATGTGTCACATAGACCACATTTCCTGAGAAAAGGAACTACAAACTATTTTCAGCTCCTAAGGAAGAGTCATCTGTACACTCATCAATTAAAAACTTAGGGCTTCCCTGGTGGCGCAGTGGCTGAGAGTCCGCCTGCCGATGCAGGGGACACGGGTTCGTGCCCCGGTCCGGGAGGATCCCACATGCCGCGGAGCGGCTAGGCCAGTGAGCCACGGCCGCTGAGCCTGCAGGTCCGGAGCCTGTGCTCCGCAGCGGGAGAGGCCACAACAGTGAGAGGCCCGCATACCGCAAAAAAAAACCCAAAAAACAAAAAAACTTAGTCTCATAGCTTAGTTTAGTTCTTAAAATAAAATAAAATATATAATGAAAAGAAAGCAAATTTTAAGTGCTAGATATGTGAATATATTTTTATTTTTTATTCAGTATGGAATAACTGTCATTTATTGTGAACTCAGTATGTATCAAGCCTTATGCTAAGGAGCTTAAAGAAGACTTCAGAAAGCTTCATCGTTCAGTTTCTTTAATAGGTTAGAACTGAAGCATGGATAACTAATCCTGAGATTTTACAAATGTCAAGTTATTTTAGACCCCGAATTAGGCTTATGATAGATAATAAATGACACATATTTGATATTGCTTCTTTGAATTTTATATTTTGGTCGGATTTTCCATTGACCATTCTTATAATTCCTTCATTTCATATATTTAATTTTATTGCTATTGTACACTATTGCCTCAATAAAGTGTGTTTTTAGTATTCTGAACCTAGTAACCACGTTTTTGTAAAGCTTTGTGAGGTGATTTCTTCCAATTTCCCCATTTATAGGTGAACTAGAAATCAGCATCTGGAAATATTAATATATAGGCATTATAGGTATCACATGTTCCCTGTGAATAATCAAATAAGTAAATTCCACTTATATGATTTATCCTTTTTAAATGTTCCTTCTCAAACCTATTTACTTCTTCTACTATTGGATTATGTACGGACTTTTTTGTTGTTGTTTGTTTGTTTTTTGCGGTACGCGGGCCTCTCACTGTTGTGGCCTCTCCCGTTGAGGAGCACAGGCTCCGGACGCGCAGGCTCAGCGGCCATGGCTCACGGGCCCATCTGCTCCGCGGCATGTGGGATCTTCCCGGACCAGGGCACGAACCCGTGTCCCCTGCAGGCGGACTCGACCAGGGCACGAACCCGTGTCCCCTGCAGGCGGACTCGCAACCACTGCGCCACCAGGGAAGCCCCAAAGTTCTTTTTTATTTGACAAAAAGTCATAGGTCCCAGGTGCTATGGTTGTGAATATGGTAGTTTAGGGGTATAGATAGTTTTCTGCCATCCCACATTTTAAATTGCAAGTGCAAGAAGCAAGTTTGCATACTGTTCAAAATATGACATATACAAAGAATAGTACTATGCCAGTGCATTAAGTTTACTGTGTATAGGAAAATAGCACCTCAAAACTCAGGATGCTAATTAGGGAGGGCTGACTTAATAAACCCTGCCCATAACATTTTTATTCTTCCCCAGATAGTTTGTAACACACATACACACTTGAATATGTTTATATGCACCATATACACATTAATCCTTAGGATTTTATATATGTGCTTGTCTGTATACATACAATTTATAAATGTATACTGTACTGTTTACCAATCTGTATTCATCGTTTACATAAGGATCTATCAATGTATATACATACATCGATAAACAGTCTCATTTCAAGCTATAGTTTGTTATACTTCTACCTTTTGAAGCATACTATTAATAAAATTAAATAAGGTATATGCTTTTCTAACATATGTGAGGAGTTACATTAAGTTTGAATTAAGTTAAAATTTTAATACGTTAGAAATGTGAGAAGTCATACGCTTATATTAAGGAGTAGATTTAAATATGTCAGATATTAAATCATACTTTTGTATTAAATTTAACATTGTAGTTCTAGAGCAAACAATTATATTCAATAGATATTTATATGAAAAATTAAACCTGGAAAGTTTTATTATATGACTTTAAAAAAACAATGATATGTCTCTATTCTTAAATGAACAAGTTTTATGAACATCCTATAATGATCGCTTTTTTCCTAAAATGTATTTTGACCTAGTGGAATGATTATAAATCTAATTATCCCCTGTTTTAGGCTAAGATGACTCAATTGCCTGAGGCAGAAAAGGAAAAGATAGCTGAGCAAGTTGCTGATTTCAAGAAAGTAAAGAGTAAGCTGGATGCTGAGATTGAGATATGGGACGATACGAGCAACGATATCATTGTTCTTGCCAAGAAGATGTGTATGATCATGATGGAGATGACAGACTTCACAAGGTAATTATGTGGGAAATGATGTGTAAATTTATAATGTTAGAAACATTTGTCACATTAGTGAAACCCTGAGTTTCTCTGAGTGTCAGGTGCTAAAAAATTAAGTGGTATGGGAAAAGCAAAAAATAAAGAATTAGAAAGTTGTACGTAGGTTCTTCTAGAGGTTTTGGTAAATAAATGTGGCAGAGTTTCTCATAAACTGCTGAGGAATAATTTTAGAAACCAATTTATGTCCTCACTATCAGGAACCTTCTCTGTGTATCGTTTTAGCTTTTTTTTCTTTTTTTTATTACAAAGAAAGTGGTAAATCAAGTTATGATCTCTATTGGAGCTATCTGAATGATTGGTTTTCATAGCTACATACTGAGATATCAACTAGATATATTTGAAATTACAGTGACTTAATGATATACACAAAGGAATCATACATTGTATATTCTAGAAGTAATAAACATGTTTCTTACAGCTTCAAAATATTATTTTACAGAGCTAGCCAAAGAGCAATACCAGTTACTAAAATGTACAAAACTACAACAATTAAAATAATTTAGTCTTGATGTAATTATAAAAGCCACAGAACAGAAGAATACTCTGAAGCAGACCTAGTAAAATTACAAAACTATTTATTTATATCCCTATACATTAAGCACAAAAATAACTTTTAGATGGAGTAATGAAATAAATGTAATTTTAAAATAATAATAAATGGAAAAAATATACATGAATATTTCATTAAAATTAAGATTGAGGAAAGCTTTCTAAGCATTATAGACAAAGAACTCATAAAAAAGGATCATTACATTGAGTGGCATTAAAATTTCAAAATGTCAATAGAATGTCCTAAACAACACTTAAATATAAATGGATAATTGGGTAAACATCTATAACAAAAAATAAGGAAAATTGGATGTCATTTGTATATAAAGAATACTTACAGACATTAAAAATTTTTTAACTGTCTTAGTAGAAGAATGGGCAAAAAATATGAGCAGATAGCTCACCAATTTCTCCCCATAAAAGATATGAGCTGTAAGTATGTGAAAATATTTTAACCTAAAATATTTTAAATAACGTACCTTTTAATTCTGTAAAACTGGCCAAAACTTTTAAAATAGCCCTTTACAGAGAAGGTATGGTAATGAAAACATATATTGATATAAGCCTTGTGGTAATTTGGCGCTATATAGAAACTAAAAACTTTCACAGACTTTTAATATCTATATCTATCTATATCTGTATGTTATATATACAGTTTCATAAAGAATGCCTGTTAGATATCAGTTTATGTTTGCCCCTCTTGGTTCTTGCCATTTTTTTCTAACCCCCTACCATGACTTCTAAATGTCTTACCATTTCCTTTCATACACAGAATTCAGTTTTAACCTATTGCTCAGTCTCTACAAAGATTCTGAGAAACTTCTCCCCCTCTACTCCATACGTATATTTTATATATATATAAAACATAGACATGAATGTGCCTGTGTATAAGAAACTATACTACAGTGGTATTAAATACTGACTATGTTTTGGTAGTTTGGTGGTGGGTAAGTTAATTACTTTTACTTTTCTATAATTTGTTAATTTTCTATGATAAGTATATAGGTATTTTAAATAATTTATAATTTTGCTTCAAGTTAGTCCTAGGAGAGTGGAAGTTGACTAAACTTAAATCATTTCCTGCAAACTTTCCCAAAAGTTAAGACTAAAAAGGAGCACAAATAAAACCTTAAGTGATGTCAGCTTTCAACATTATTAAGATACAGAAAACAGTGTGAGTTTCAAAGTACTACCTTTAAGTAGAGAAATAAACACCAAATTCCAACAGAGCTACTGCTGGTACTCTGTCATCGACATAAACCTGTGGATCTGGAAAGCAGGCATTGAGAAAATTAAAACACCTAGTGGAAATGGGAGGAATGTGATAGATAAAGCAATAGATAAAGCACAAAAGAAAATTGGACCAAAATGAGAACACCTGATGCTAAGTGCTAAAATACTGAACCACAGGTCTGGGACTTGTCATTTTACAACATTAACTATAGAGATTGAGCTTAAAATTGAATGGGTCTGGATTTGGGAAATGTCACTTTTGAGAAAAAAAAGGAAAATAGGACAAGTGACACTGAAGGTATGTCAGTGATCGAAAAGGACATAGATAGGAAATAAGAAGGAACCTAGAGAAATGAAAGAGAATTACAATATATGTCAACCCCTCCCCTTCCCCACCACCACCACCAAAAATGTTATCCATTAAAGAAAGTATACTTCACAGTAATGATTAAAGAGAGTATTCTTGGTCCAGGAGCCCTGTCTAAAATCAAAGAGATTCAGACCGATGACATGCAAAGCTATGTAATGAGATATAGAAAATGAACGTGTTTCTGGGTACATATGCAAAGGAAATGAAATAATTATCTTTAGGAGTTATTGGTATTTCCAGGTTCACTGCAGCATTACTCACAATAGTCAAGATATGAAAACAGTCTTAGTGTCCATCAATGAATGAGTAGATAGAGAAAATGTCATATATAAAAAGTAAATTTGTGTATATGATAAATTTAAATAATAAAGGAAACCCTACTCATTTGTGACACATGGATGACCCTGGAGAGCCTTATGCTAAGTGAAATAAGCTAGACAGAGAAAGACCAATACTGGATGGTATCACTTATATGTGGAATCTTTTAAAAAAAAAAAAAAGTCAAACAGAGAATAGAATGGTGGGGACTGGAGCATGGGAGAAGTAGAGAAATGCTGATCAAAGATTAGAAACTTTCAGTTATAAGATGAGTAAGTTCTGAGGATCTAATATATAGCATATTGACCACAGCTATTAATACTTGAAATTTGCTGAGAGTAGATCTTAAGAGTTCTCATGCAAAAAAGGTAATTATGTAAGGTAACGGATGTGTTAATTAAGTTGATTGTGGTAATCATTTCACATTGTATATATATATATATCAAATCATCACATTGTACACTAAAAATATATTACAATTTTGTCAGTTATGCCTCAATAAAGCTGAAAAAAGTGAGAATCAAAACAATTCAGCTGATGAAAACCTTCCATCTAGAAAACAAATACAAAACAACAATAAAACTATAACACAACACTCCAAACTACAGTGAATTTCAAAAAATAAGAGTTGAAGATACATGTTTTTAAAACCTGGACTCAGAAGATCAAAAACTAAGAAGATAAATTTTAAAAATAAATGAAAAAATGAAATGAGGAATGCAATGAGTTAATAAAACTTAGGCAAAAAAATTAAAGGACAAAAATATCTAAAAAATAAAAAAAATTATAAAGTGTCCAAAGGAAAATAGATTCAGATAAAAATTCCATAAGGGGAGGACAAGCAGGGGATTAACCAAGAGAATGACTGTGAGATAAAGATTTAAAAAAAAATAAGAAAAGGCTCAGAGAAAAATAGCTTGAAATGGAGAAGAGGCAAAGGAGATCTGATAGACATATGTTAGACACTTAGAAAAAAAAGAAATAATAAAACAGCTAATATTTAAAAGTATAAACCAAGAAAGTTTTCCATACATAATACTAAACTTAAATTTACATGTAGAAAGGCATTACCATATTCCTAGGAAATTTGACCCAGACAACACTAAACACACACACACACATGCACGTACGTTTTCCTCATATGTAAAAAATACCAATATATTATATATAGCAATACTGTATTCTACATATTATATGTATATGGAGAGAGAAATAGCAAAGTGAAACCAATTGAATAATAAAAATTTATGAGAAACATCCTTACCTCCACAAAGGGGAGGCATGTACTTTTAACCTTATGATTTCATTCCATGTGATTATCTCTATATCTCTAAACAATACACTTTCTGAGATATGGTTTATTGACTTTTCCTGCAAATGAGAATGTAGGTCATTTATATGACTGTTCATCTCTTCTTCTATCTTTTCCTTGGTTTCATGAATTTATATATTTTATTACTTATATTTATAGACCTTGATAATATTATGTTATCCATAAAGTGTTTCTCGCTATATGTATATTAGTTATATCTCAACTTCTCACTCTGTATGTTGAAGAAATACCCACTCTTACTCTTTCTTTTGCCTGTTACTGCTTCCTCTTCTACATCTCATTTGTAACCCAACTTCTTTCTAGTACACCTCTTTTATATTGATAGTTAATGTAACATTTACATTCTTCTAAATAACTAAATCACCCATGCTTATTCTATTGGTTTATTCTGAAAGTGAAGATTAATAAATAAAATGTTTATGACACTGATATAATTAACCTAGATAGGAAACACACATGAAGGAAACATATTTCCAGTAGAAAGCTGAATTAGAGTTTAGACATACATGAAGTACCCATACATTTATATGGGAAACAACACATCATGGAAAGAAACCTGAACTAAGAACTATGTTTTAACATCAGTTTGATAAATGTGTCAATGAGAGTTCTCTTAATCTTTCTCACCATATTGTATAAAGAGTATATATATATAGGCAGAATCTAAAGTTAGAAGGAAAAACAATCAAGGACAAAGCCATGAGAAAAAAAAGCTTTTAAGAAGTGGTCAGAGGAGATAGAATCCCATAAAGACAGAGCAGTCAATAAGAAATTGTGTAATATGCAAAGAACGATTCTTGGGCCAGAGTTAAGGAAGTTTCAGTGAGTTATCAAGTGTTTTACTTGAAGAGATCCTAATTAGTGTAAAGATTGAAAAGATAGTATAGTTTTGGCAATTCTCAATTTATGGTTACTTTTGTTTGAGTAGCTTCACTAAATTTTAGGTGAGAGATTAAAAAGCTTTATTAATTCTTTACGAAGTAGATGAGAAAAGAGCAGGTGATAAAACAAAGATACTCAAAGTAGTAACTTAAAGGAGGCAAATCATCAAGACAAGATTTAGAGATTTCTGAATAACTTGAATATATGCTAGGTTGAAGGGACAGGGGAAATGGGGAGGGATAGAATGAAACTGTAAAAGTTATTCAACTT